TCAGGTACCTTTATGGGGGGACAGCCCCCTCCCAGAAGGGGAAATGGAGGAGGCTATAGAGGACCTGGATAGGTTCGGGGAGGAGGAGGATCTTGAATGGGGGTCTACACAAGGGGATCCCCTATCGGAGATAGGCCCGATAGAAGGAGACATGTCCGAGGACGAGGGCCTCACTCCCGATCAACCCACCTTCTGGGTTTGTTCAAGCCACACATGCTTAATCACTACTCTTTAAGGCCAAGAACATTTCTGGCCTGTCGGTTCAGTCCTCTCCGGCTCTCCCCGCCCCGGCAGAGGGACAAGAGGACGCCATTTTTAGGCAGCCCGTGGTGGAGGCAAAGGTTATTCCGGCCCCACCCATATTCCACGACCTAGTTTCAGACCAATTGGACTCTACAAGAGCTTCCCCTGCCCATCCAGCCAGGACAAGAGGTTCTTTAACCTCGAGCTGAGCTTTTGCAACTTGCTTAACACTCCCGAGGTAGACAAGCCCTTCGTTGGTTCAGTATCCTCGTCCTCTTCCAGTGACCCCCTGGAAGCCCAAAACCCGAGGACAAAAGGTCCAAACTGGCCTTACGTAGGACTCATCAGGCCGACACCTGGGCCATTAGATCGGCCATGGCCGCTTCCCTTTCACCAGGTCCTCGATCCGGTGGCTCCGCCAAGTGAAACAGCATGTTCCCCCCTCTAACACAAGGGCACATCAGGAAATCGCAAAGTTGACGGCCGCAGCAGAATTCTCGGCCGACGCCACCTACCACGCGGTGAAGTCCTCCGCCCGAGCGATATCCTCTCACGTTACAGCTCGCCGCCTGCTCTGGCTCAAGCACTGGCAGGCGGACATAAAAAACAAGGTTAAGCTGGCCACTGCCCCCATTAAGAGGGACAGACTCTTTGGTGCCGCCCTGGAGCCATTGCTATCCGAACCCCGAAGTAAGAAAAAATTTCTTCCCCCCCTTTTTCGGAGGTCAGAGTCAAGAGCCCCCAGCCCTTTCGGAGAGGTCCCTCCCGACCCTTCTACCAGTCATCTTTCCAGCCCAGGTATCCGAGACTCCCCTCCTTCCGGCCATTCCAGCCCCAGGATCGAGCCGATCCAGGTGACAGGAACAGGAGGGGCGGCAGCTACAGACGTCCCTTCAGGGGCTCCGGAGGGTAGCCCTTCCGGCGCACCAGATAGACCTCGTCCCTCCCTTCCCATCGGCAGACGCCTCAAGCATTTCGCTGACCGATGGGATTCCTCCACTTCCGATGCCGGGGTCCGGGACACCATCAGACTTGGTCTCGCGCTTGAATTCCAGCGCACACCCCCTGACTTCTCTATGGCATCCCCCCTTCGAGGGACCCCACTAAACGCAACTTAATGGATTCAGCCATTCAGCATCTCTTTAGCATACAGGCCATACAACCCGTCCCACCATCCCAGCGGGGGCAGGGGTTTCACTCTCACCTCTTCGTGGTCCCCAAATCCTCAAGGGGATGGAGGGCTATTCTAGACCTGAAACGCCTCAACCGTTACCTGATTTACCGCAGGTTTAAGATGCACACCCTGCAGTCCATTCTCCTGGGCATCAGACAGGGGGATTGGCTAGCCTCTATAGACCTTCAGAGGCGTATCTCCACATTCCAATCCGGCCCTCCCATTCCATATTCCTCAGATTCTGCTACAACCACCACCACTTCCAATATGTGGCCATTCCCTTTGGGATGGCCTCTAACCCGAGGACCTTCACTAGGGTCCTCGCGGCTCTGGCGGCCCACCTCAGGAACCTCCTGGTTCGTCTCCATTGTTACCTGGATGACATCCTCATCCTGTCCCACTCCAGACTCCAAGCAGAGAAGGATGTCAGAGCTACCCTCTCTGCCCTCCAAGACCATAGGTTTCCGGTAACTGGAAAAAGAGCCAACTGTTACCTTCTACACGGATCACCCACTTGGGGGCCGTCATTGACTCAGTTCGGGGAAAGGTTTCCCTTCCTCAGAAAGATTCCTTAGCATTCAGGAAACCATCACACACATCAGACGTTCAATAAGGGTAACACTTTTGGATCTGTCTAAGCTACTAGGTAAAATGGTCTCATGTATTTCCATCGCTCCCTGGGCCCGGTTACACACCAGGTCCCTACAGTGGTTCCTGCTTCCGTTCCAACGGTCCAGCAGTAGCAATTCAAAGGCCACGGTCAAGGTGCCTTCAAAGGTCCTCACGTCTCTCCTCTGGTGGACCAGTCCCGCCATCAACAGGGACATGGCCTCAAGAAGCCCCGACGCCTCACCCTCACCACAGACGCCAGCCTGTCCGGAGGGGGCGCTCACATCCACTCGCTTTCGACACAGGGCAGATGGTCTCAGGTAGAACGGGCATGCAGTATAAACTGGTTGGAACTCCGCGCCATCCGCTGGGCCTACGCCACTTCCTCCCTCAGGTACGTGGGCGGCATGTCCTTATACTTACGGACAACATCACCGCCAAGGCCCTTGTCAACCGACAAGGGAGCACCCAGTCCATCCGTTTGATGAGAGAGGCCGAGCGCCTCTGCCGTTGGGCGGAGCGCAATCTCCTCTCTCTCAAAGCCGAGCACATCTCAGGGGACTTAAACACCCAAGCAGACTGGTTGAGCAGGACCACGGGGGACCAGTCCGAGTGGCGCCTCCACCCGTCACTGTTCAGGGAGGCGACCGGGCTGTTTGGCCTCCCGTCAGTGGACCTCCTCGCATCCCCCCTCAACACTCAACTCCCCAGGTTTTTCTCGAGGTACCCCTCCCACGGGGCCGAGAACTACAACGCCCTCCGTTGCCCCTGGCCCACAGGGCTTCTATATGCTCTCCCTCCCGTAGCCCTGGTACTCAGGGCCATCCAGAAGTTCATCTCCGAGACAGCAGAACTGATTCTGATGGCACTCTACTGGCCCAGGCGCCCATGGTTCGCGGACCTCCGCAACCTATCGATGGCCCCTCCCTGGGAAATTCCTCCGAACAGGATTCCTTTCTCAGGGTCCCCTCCAGCACCCGGACCCGCAGTGGCTCCAGCGAGCTGTTTGGAGGTTGAGCGGGAGCGTTTAAGAAAGGAGCAGTTTCGGACTAGGTTATTGATACCATCCTAGCCGCCAGGCGACCCTCCACAGCCCGAATCTTTAATGCCACTTGGAATAGTTTCTGCAAGTGGTGCCAGGGTTTCCAGGTCAACCCGCTTTCCCCATCCATAGCTCAAGTGTTGGAATTCCTCCAGAGGGTCTGAGGAAAGGTCTTTCTCCGAACACCCTGAGGCGTCAGGTCGCAGCCCCTTTCAACCGTCATTGCTTGTGGCAATCTGGGGTCCCTTTCCCTCCACCCTCGCATTAGGGCATTCCTCAGGGGAGCCACTACCTGTGTTCCCATCAGTTCACAGATACCCCACTTGGGACCTCAATAAGGTCCTCGTGGCCCTTACCAAACACCCCTTTGAGCCGCTCAGGGAATCCACTCTCCAGTTCCTAACATTCAAGGTTGTGTTTCTGGTGGCCAACTTCGGCTTGCTGAATATCAGAGATAGCGGCCTTGTCGGTGAGGAAGGACCTTTGCATCTTCCATGCCGACCGGGTAGTTCTCCGGCCGGATCCTACCTTCTTGCCCAAGGTCAACTCAGCCTTCCACAGGGCACAGGAACTCACACTTCCGAACTTCTGCCCCAATCCCTCGCGGGAAAGGGAGAAGCCTTGGCATACCCTAGACGTAAGACGGGCCCTCTACATTTACATTAAACGTACCCAGCCCTTCAGGAGATCCGAATCCCTATTCCTTTCCTTTCAGCCCAAATCGTTAGGCCACAAAGTGTCCCCGTCAACCATCGGCCGCTGGATTAGAGCTACTATTTCCCAAGCTTACCTGTCCCAGGCCCTGCCCATTCCCAGCGGAATAACGGCACACTCCACCAGAAGTGCTGCTACCTCGGCTACTTGGGCCACCCAGGTTCCAATTGCTGGCGTTTGTCGGGCGGCCACTTGGGCCTCCCCATCTCCCTTTATTAGATATTCTAAGATCGACATATTTGCTTCGGCGGAGGCTTCGTTTGGTAGACGAGTCCTCCAGCGAGTCCTCACGGAACCGCAGAGATTGCAGGACCAGACGGACTCCCTCCCGTAGGACAGCCAAGCTTTGGTATGTCCCACTCTCTGGATGATCCGAACGGCTCCCAGGAGAATGGGCGTTGGTTCTTACCTGACACGCCATTTCTCTGGAGCCGTGAGGATCATCCAGCCCCACCCTTATTAAGTTTTCCGTCTGGTGGGGTCTTGTTTCGGCCAATAAACCCTTTAGCATAGTAAGATGAGAGCAAGATCTTCTCTTCACTCTCGACTTCGCGTAAACTGGGGATTGCAAGGCAGCTACGTGGTGAAGGGCGGAGCAATCCTCAGTAATTAAGCTCAGCCTACAACGACGCAGACTGAAGCACCTCCCACTCTCTGGATGATCCTCACGGCTCCAGAGAAATGGCGTGTCAGGTAAGAACCAACGCCCATTTTATTGTGTTTAACTAATTCTTTAAACGTAATTTAATTTTTATACTGCAGTGCACTGGAGACCATGAGATGGCACGGGTAGAAACCACAAAAATAAAATTAACATTCCTACTCTTCATATGAATGATTGATGGCCTGCCACTTTTAGCCCAAGATGCAAACTAGATGCAATTCTAAGATGCAAAGTGGAGTGGAAGATAGTTTAGCCCTTTGAGGTCACCTACACAAAAAGCACAATTGCAATATCTTTATTGTAAAGTTGCATTAACAGAATCTTTCAAATATGAAAACATTTCTTCCCTCCTTTCCTTTTACTTCCCAGTAAACTAGGGAAGATCCCTTCTGAGATGCTCCTCACATCCCTTTTTCTTCTGAGGGCTGAGATACCTTTTGCATGGTGGTTTTTCTAATCCTTGGATCTTGCTCCTGTCTCCCAAGGTGATTCCTACAATGCCATTAAAGATAAGGACTAGTCTTAAGGTCTGACAGGGAGTCCCATTGTGGAATAAGGTTTGAACTCCACTCTCTTCTATTTAAGCAATTCCACAAAGCTTAAAAAGGAACAAAATTGTGCATACTATGACTTATCGCTGTTGTGTTCTAATCAGGCATTATTACCTTGGAGGAACTGACAGCAGTTTTGCCATTTGGAGGAACTTTCGACTTGCTGCAGATCAAAGGTTCTACTCTAAGACAAGCATTTGAGCACAGTGTTCACCGACATGGGCACGGAACTGGGGAATTGCTACAGGTCTCAGGTTAGCTATCTTCATCCGTTGCTAAAATCTTTTTCATCGAGCATTAACAGTTCATCTTTTCCTGCTCAACCCCTCCCCTCCTGGGGGGGGGGGGGGGCGGAGGGGCGGGAAAGAATGATTTACAGTAATCTCCAGCATGGGCATCATCCCAGAGGTGTAGTGTCACTAAGGAGTCAGGTAACCGGAATAAGAATCTGTCTCAGACTTCCAGCTTGAATAGCATTGGATGTAAACAAACACAACATACTGGAGGCCCCAGTACTCACCTTTCCCTATGTTGTTGCCAAACTGTGAGGGAAAGCGGGGGGGGGGGGGGGGGGGGGGGGGGGGAAGGCAGCCAAGCTTCAAATAAATAATGCCAAACATCTCAATCTTTGGTTGAAGTTTTCATGGGGATGTGCATCAGAATAATCTGAAGCCCAGATTCCAGGCCAGATCAAGTATAATTCAGCACAGACCTTCATCTAGCCTTGGTAGTGGAGATGAGAATCCCTCCGACCATACAGCAGTGGTCTTGTGTAAACCCCTGCCCTCATTTCTTTCCCTGGAGCCACACTGTGTTGCTGCAGCCACATCATAAATAAAATGTTTCAGGATTTACATGCTGGGATGTAAAGATGATTGTGAATGGCAGGTCAGTTCTTAGCATTCGACTGTTTTTGAATTGGAGGTGAGCAGATGAGAAACACTTAGTCATTCATGCCTTTATTTACTTAATGAAGGTCCACTCAACAATAGCGATTCATGCAGTGGTGGGATTCAAATTTTTTTACTACCATTTCTGTGGGCATGGCTTGGTGGGCATGGCTTGGGGAAGGATACTGCAAAATTTCCATTCTCTCCCCACCCCACTAACCTGCTTTCCAGCTCCGTTCTCCTGTGCAGGGCAACAAAAGAAGACCCAGCCGACTACCTGGGACTCAGGAGGCAGAGAATAGATGGGGGCAGGGCCAGTCAGAGGTGGTATTTTCTGGTTCTCCGAACTACTCAAAATTTTTGCTACCGGTTCTCCAGAACTGGTCAGAACCTGCTGAATACCACCTCTGGATTCATGGGAAAACAGTAATTGTAATCTGCACTGATTTATGGTAAATTCTTATAAAGTGGAATTAGTAACTCCTAGTTTTTAAAAAACTCAAAAATAACAATAACGTTGAAAAATTATGTTGTCTATTAGTTTCCTATTGGTAAGGTACTTTTCCATTTTGTAATGCTGCAGGAATATATTTATTTTATTTCCCTGCCCCAATTTCCATAAGCAGTAAAGCTAGAAATGCGCTTGCATATTACATTGTGAGCACTCCTAGTATGGTTTAAAAGGTGCAGAGGGGGGGGGGGAGGCTGGACATGAAGTTGTTTTCAGAAGAATCAATTTTCCTATAGAGGTTCTTGCTGGCGGAAGATAGAATTGTCAGAGGGGAATTTCCTGTAACCAGCACATCTCTTGTGCTGATGGTCTATGCCAATGTGGAATGGATGCAAAGTGCTACCGTAGAATGAATTAAGAATAACTTCTCCCTTTCTGCTAGTAGAAGTGTTTTGCAAGCAGACTTGAATCCATGGTACTGTGAATCTGGTTTTACCATTTGTCCACCAAACTCTAACCTTAACCCTAACCCACCAAAAGTCATGAATAGCACAACTGATTGTTAATATTTTTAGAGATACAAACCAGAGATTTGCAATAGATGGTACATAAATACTTGTGACTTTTGTTTCTTAATAGGCATAAAAGTGGTGTATGATCTCTCCCAAAAGCCAGGGAAAAGGGTGGTCAGCTTAAATGTTCTTTGCACAAAGTGCAGAGTACCAACTTATGTGCCGCTTGAGATGGAAAAGACCTACAAAGTGCTTTTACCTTCTTTCCTTGCTGCTGGCGGTGATGGATACTACATGCTAAAGGGGGACTCAAGTAACCACAACAGTGGTAAGTATTAGCATTTCTGGTGATTAGCAGATGGCAATGTAATTAGAATGACTAATTATGGAAGTACTGGAATTCATATCCCTGAAATGAATCTTTACAACGTAACTAAAGACAGTAGTGCTAACATCCCACAATTTCTATGTTCCCTTTTTCAAACTGCAACAAAATCTAATATGATTTGGGCCATTATGCAAATGAGGGAAAATAGAACTGCAAGCAACTTCACCATTTTCCTGTAAAGCAAGATTTGAGATAAAAATACAAAACTGGATCAAAGTGTCATCTTTGATGAAGAGCCATGGTAGCACAGTAGTTAGAATACAGTATTGCAGGCTAACTCTGCCAACTGCCAATAGTTCGATCCTGGAGGGCTCAAGGTTGATTCAGCCTTCTATCCTTCCGAGGTCAGTAAAATGGCGACCCAAATGGTTGGGGGAAATAGGGGGAAATATGCCCTGTAAACTGCTTAGAGAGGGCTGTAAAGCACTGTGAAAATATATATCAGTCTGAAGTGCTCTTGCTATCATTTTCGTGTCTTTTACTTCCAAATAGAATAATCAAGCAGCATTTGTATTCAAGGTATTAACACAGGTTTATTTATAAACTAGCTAGGAAAATCTACTTGTGTATCAAAAATGCAGTTGGGAGAATAGATCTCAAGTTTCTCTCTAAAGAAACATTTTCACTGCTCTTTTCTATCTGGTGGCATGGTTGGTGCTGCCTCCTTATTGTACAACACCAGCAAAAAACCTCTTAAGGCTCCAGACGCTGCATGTGCGGTTTATAAAATCTAGGAATAGAAAGACAGAGAAATCTTAATATGCATAAGACCAACAGCAAGGACAGCGGCAGCTATTCAAGAAAATGCACACTAGCATTCGAATGGCCATTCTGCTCTGTCATGAAAACACAACACTAGCAGAATTGCCTTGCATGAGATGGGCTGCTATATAGATTTGATAAACAAACTTTGAGTGTTTTCCATTTCAAATAGCAGTAAATGGATCCTGTGCATTTAAAAAAAAAAAAGAATACTAAAGTTAAAAGCCAGGTTTTCACAGTGACTTAAAGTATTTGACTGACATTGGGGAGTGCCGGGTTCAAATGCTTACTCAGGAGTTAACTTCACAGCAGACCACTGAGTGAGTCAGTCACTATTCTCAATCTAATCTACTAAAAACTG